GGACACTTTACGGGCAGAAGAAACATTTCTATCAAAGAAAAAATTATACATTTTCGTATTTTTATGCCTTTAATAGCTACTAACTTGAATTTGTATTCAAATGAATTAATGAATTATTTTTTATATTGTATTGTAATGAAGAGACAAGGCTTTTAGTGACAATCATGTATTGAGTTACAATTATATGTAAAAAAAAAAAAGAAAACAAAAGGGGGGGGGCCGCCCAGGTTGGGAACCACTGCTCTAGGGGAAGATTTCTTTGAACATTTTAAAGTAAAATGCTTTGAGCGCACAATTACTAGAGACCTGGTCTAGGGGGTACAACTCTAAAACACCCATATGAAAAAGATCGGTTTACATTTTAATAATCAAATAAGTATATGAACATAACCAATAACCTACCATAGCCAACAACAAATAAATGTAGCTTATTTTATTTTTGTTGTTCATTATCTTATTTGACCTAGTTAACATTTATTTATTTATGCATCTCTCCAACTTTAAACGATATTTTTGGATTACTGTCCTATAGTATACATTGGAATGATTTCAAACCTGTTTTGATTTATCCTAATAATTATAAAGGAGTGCCTTGGAAATATGTGTTTACATAATTTGTGGTCAAAACGTTTGAGACCCACTGAGATAACTTAGACTAAAATTAACTTATCTAAACACTCAGAGAATCCTTTACCTCACTGCAGAGATGTTCACAAGTCTTTTTTTGCAAGTCCAAGTCAAGTCTCAAGTCTTTGGTCACGAGTCCAAGTCAAGTCTCAAGTCTTTGTGGGGTGAGACTTGATCAAGTCTCAAGTCTTTGGTCACGAGTCCAAGTCTCAAGTCTCTAAAAAATAAAAGTCTCATGTCTCTTCTGGTTGTAATAAGCCTTCTATTGTCTGCTGCTATCCAGTCTGTTAAGAATACTGCACAGCTATATCTAAGAAATTCAAAGCATTTACTGTATTATTATCACTCCTATATCTATTAGCATACAGTATCAGTACTGATTAGTTGTTTGTTATATGATCACTTTAAACAGGCTATTGCAATGCAATATGAGGAAAAACATCACACTTTAGCTAAATTCAAACAACTTATAAGCAAAACACTTCAGAATCAAAAATTAGTATCACAAATACTTTATTAATCCCCCGCAGGGAAACTGTGTTAAAAGTACTTAAAAAGTAAACATTTGTTCTGTGCCATTTGCAACTAAAAAACTATTGCTGCAATATTATCTGAAATATACTGAACTGGTGATATTAAAACATGACTTGTTCCAAAAGAGATATCTACCATTAACACCATTTACCAGCCAAATGCTGGTAAATCATGCAAGTGGCTGGTACTGTATGTTGCACGCACCTGCCAAAAATAACAATGGCAATCTATTGAGTGGCTTGTAACATTTCAACATTCACTAGGCTAGCCATTTGGCCAGTGGACAAAAATGTTAAAATTTGACCTCTGCAACCGTATTGTTGAATTACACTGGGTCTCTAATGACATCTTTTAAGTCTACTATAAATAAACATATTCCTCTATCCTCTCACTCAAACCCAGTGTAATGGTAACCTGATAAACCTGTAACATTAACGTTACGTGGTCAACAATAAACCTGTAACCTGCCTATAAACCGACAGATGTATTTATGTATGTAACTATGTATTTTTCTACGTTTAACGTTAGCCAGTAGATGGTGGCAGCGGAACGTAATGATTAACGTTACCGACCTTTTTTATGTCATGTCAAGAGTTGGATGTCAACGCCACTCAACGCAAACAAGTGTGACAAGCAAACATTCACTCATCTTTTCAAATATTCAGTTACAAAGCTAGTAGCAAGCTAAGTTAACATTACATAGCTGATGCTGAGCTAAACATGTTTGCTAACGGGAGTGGCTATATACAGGACCGTCCTGTACACAACGTCAAATGACTATATACAGGACCGTCCTGTACACAACGCCAAATGACTATATACAGGACCGTCCTGTACACAACCCTCTGAAATGGCTATATACAGGACGGTCCTGTATATAAGGTCTCTGAAATGGCTATACAGGACGGTCCTGTATATAAGGTCTCTGAAATGGCTATATACAGGACCGTCCTGTATACAAGCTCCGAAATGGCTATATACAGGACCGTCCTGTAAACAGCTCTCTGAAATGGCTATATACAGGACGGTCCTGTATATAGCCATTTCGGAGCTTGTATACAGGACGGTCCTGTATATAGCCATTTCAGAGACCTTATATACAGGACCGTCCTGTATATAGCCATTTCAGGGCTTCTGTGCAGGACCGTCCTGTATATAGCCATTTCAGAGAGCTGTGTACAGGACGGTCCTGTATATAGCCATTTGGCGTTGTGTACAGGACCGTCCTGTATATAGCCTCGGCCTTTGCTAACCGTCCATATGCGTTAATGTGACTGACCTCTCCGGGTGGGTTTTCAAGTGCCTGATGACATTTGACGTTGTTGCACCAGCATCCTTGATTTTAATATTGCAGACTTTGCAATGTGCGCTCCTTTTGTTGGTGCCGCCGGCGTTTTGTTCGAAGTTTTTATAGTTGAACCTAATTACAAGCGGTACAGCTGCAGGTGTGCCGCCGGTCGCCATGGTGTTACCATGATGTTAATGTTAAAGTTAAAGGTGGGGTAGGTAAGTTTGAGAAACCGGCTCGAGATACACTTTTTGTTATATTCCATGGAATGCTCTTAACATCCCGATAGCCGGCCCGGCTAAAGTAACTGGATGGTCTACCTGCCTGTCAGCCTTCCATCGGGGCACAAACTTATCTCGTGCCCTCATTGGTCATGTGCGCGTTCGTGTGTGTTGGAGGAGGGGCTCTGTGAGGAAGTGGCAGATTTTCTCCGGTTGTGTATTTTCAAATTCTAGCGATCTCGAGCCGGTTTCTCAAACTTACCTACCCCACCTTTAATACGCCAAAAATAGAAAACACAATGATTGTTCACGAGTCCCAATACACGAGTCCAAGTCGAGTCCGAAGTCTTTTGAGCAGGAGTCCAAGTCAAGTCTGAAGTCTCTGTGTGTGCGACTTAAGTGCGACTCGAGTCCGAGTCACAGACTCGAGTCCCCATCTCTGCCTCACTGAGCCTCTCAGTCTGACAGGAGAGCTCTCCTCCACCCTGGTTGTAGAAACATCTACTTCTTATATCCGTTAGCGCTGCTAGCACCAGATTAGAATAACAACAGCGCCGGTACCGGTGCGCCCTATCCCTCGCTCGCTCTCTCGCTCCCATGCTCGCACTTTGGCTGTGAGCTGCGGGTGCCTGATAAGCCAACATCCCCCACTTACAGCGCCCATCGTACAGGGCAAATGAAAAGTGTAACCGGGGTGAAAAGGGTGTTACATTTACTTAATTATGAATGTTGTTACATCAAGGCCGAAAATGTGGATGAGCGCCAACGGTCAAAAATGTTTTTTCCTCCCAGAGCTACCAGTGCACCGCCCCCCAGATCTAGCACCCTAGGCGACCGCCTGTGTCGCATATGCCAAAAATCGGCCCTGCCTAGTAGGCTATATACAGTGGCAATGTCTCAACATTTAGCAAAATACACCTTTATTGAACATACAGTAACACAAATACTACAAATCCACATAACAAACAATCAAAAATGAAAAAGGGTCACCACTTATTATTATTTTAATAAAAAAACCTGGCTGGCGCCCCCTAGCAGCGGCGCGGCGCTGCGCCGCCACTATTTGTTGGAAACACTGATGTCCTTTATTACATTTAACCTGTTGTGGAAACATTTATTGATCAAATGAATATGAAACAAATTAGATAAATATTGCACATCGGGACTTTAACCCAAAACGTTCACAGTAACCCAAAGTGACATAATATGCACAATTAGACATATTATTATGATCTGCTCAGTTAATTTGGCTGATTCAATTATATTGAGTTAATATGTTCTTATTCTTCAATTCAAAGAATGTTCAAACTAATTTAAACCAAAAAATCATCCTCATTAATTAAGTTATTTTACCCTTAAAGCCCAATGTGACATATATGTCACATTTCAGATATTTGATACATTTCAGATATTTGACACTAGGGGGGGGTTTCTTTGTCAGAAATGTGGTGGTCTATTCAGTCTAAATGATGTTCCCCTTAATTTCCCCAAAAGTAGAAATGGGTCCAGGTTCTTATGGGTTAAAACCAGTCTATGGTTAAAACCCCCGATTAGAAATGTGAGCATCTTCTTATTATTCTTCATATTATTTTTTATTATTATTATTTTTTTTTTTAAAGAAGCGGTTTTACCCGGAAGTAATTTGTAGCAAAAAGTGCACAACAAAAGGAAATCACACCACCAGTTAAACTTGGAAAAGGAGAAGGAAAAGCAGTAATTAAGAAGAAAGGGATGGAGATCTGGCAGAAAAGGTGGGAGAAAGACCAGAAAGGCAAAGAGTGCAAAAGACAATTAGAATTCATATTTAGAAAGAAAGAAACAGAAGGGAGGAAATCATGATAGCTAGGCTCAGACTAAATCACACTGCATTGAATGGTACACTGTATGTCATGGGGAAAAGTGACAGTGACAAGTGTGGGAACTGTGGAGTTAGGGAAAATGTGGAACATATTTTATTACATTGTGTCACCTATAGAGTTGAAAGAGGAAAATTAAGGGATACCGTTTTAGAGGCAGAGAGGGAGTGGAATGTAGCTGGTATTCTGGGAACAGAAGGAGAAGGAGTAAGAGCTACCAGAAAGGCACTGTTCACCTTTTTGAGGGAAACTGGGATAGGGAAAATAATCTAACAGTAGGTTAGAATAAGACCATGGATGATTTGTTTTTTGTTTTTGTTTTTGTTTTATTTTATTTATTTTATGGTGTCTTAGTTTTATGTTTTTCGATATGCTGGTTTATTAGAAGGATGACATGGTGATACACACTCGTGTACAGTAGGTGGCGGTATGCACTTTTTACGTTGTTTGCAATCCGCCAAAAACGAGAGAAGAAGAAGAAGGACGTAATTTGTGGTAACACCATCGCTTCTTCCTCTCAAAACAACTCCGCATGCAGACAACTAGCTGAAGTTGAAAACAAACGTAACTTATTGAGTTGTATCACTTGTTGGACAACCCGACTCTAATTCTGTAGTATCATGTCCCCTCAGAGAACATCTAATTTAAAGTTTGTTTAAAGTAATCGCCGATGAGAGTATACAACAAGGACTAACGTCAGCTGCACATGCTAACTAACTAGCTCGTTAGCTGTGATGGCAACTCCTCTGATTTCCGCTCCTTTGTTAAGGTCTGTGTTTCTAATTAAATCCTGTTGACATAAATTGACCATCTAACGATGTTTGGGTGTTGGGCAACAATACCATAAGAAAACGTAGAGACCCAATTGCATTGCTGTAAAGCCATTGCGTTAGTCCTGCTGTAGCGACTAGTGCTAATGTCTTAAACATTAGCACTAGTCACCCTCTATCTAAGGATATATCATACTGATATTCTGAACAATCTGTGCTGTTGTATTTGCTGTAAAGTGTCTCTACTGTAGGCTATTTTATTTTATGTACAGCACTTTGGCTCGACCAAAAATCGTTTATAAATGTGTTATATAAATAAAACTTGATTTGATTTGAAACCTCATAGAAAAATTGGGTTATCGGTTATTTTTATTCAAGTAAAAATGTGTTCTGTGTTTTAACGTTTTGGTCATTTCGAGGCTAACATACTGTTTACATGTACCTTGCATCAACGCCAATGTAATACTACCGAATCACAAAATGATGATTGAAGCTTCACTATAGATATTGCATACTTGTGGGCGGACTACAGCACATTTATAGTAATCTCATCAACCTGAAACAGTAGAAATATAAAGTGCATAACCCATCAACCTGGTCTTCCAAGTGTAGTCTTTGCAACCATCATCGATTTTTTTTAATCTGATGCTTTTTTCCCAATGTCATATTTTTGTCTTCAGTCAAAGGGAACGCCGGGCTGCTCTGAGGAAAGAGAGAAGAAAAAAGAAACGCCAAGCTCTCGCCCAAGCCAGAGAAAGTGGTACAAAGATATAATGTTGGTGCTTCTATCATTTGTACAGTTGAAGCTGCACCAAAAGATGGATCCAACACAACATTTCCTCTGTTACAGGTTTAAAACATGGAGGAAGCCCTGCACATGAAGTGGAGGAAGAAGAAGAAATAAATGAAGATGACGTTGCTGTGGAAGAAAGGTAGGTTAATTCCATCGTCTCTCTGCTGACCTGCAGCTGAACATTCAGTGATGGGCAACACAGGAAATGTTTGTTGTTTTTTTTTATTTGTGTCCGTCTTGTTTTGTTCAGACTGCGGCTGCATACAGAGTGGTTGGAAAGAGAGAGGCTTGCCCAGGAGGAGTTCAGGCTGAGGGCTGAGAGGGAGGAGGCTGTAAGGAAAAGAAAAGAGGAGGAAGAGGTAATCTGCCGTTTGTGTGTAACATAGGAAGCATCTAAAACATGACCATTTTTGAAAACGCACTAACATTTTGTGATTCGGAAGTTATTTACCAATGTGTCAATTTACATAATATGTGAATAATTGGAGCCTTTCACAGAAGATTACTGCCCTCAGTTGGGTCTGGTTACTGTGTTAATAAATGGCTAACAGACGAGAGCACCGGAGCCTGTTCCACTGATTATTCTAAATAAGATGATTATATTCACACGCTTTATGTCGTCTTGTGTTTACAGCGAATGATAAAGGAGGAATGGGAGGCCCAGCAGAAGAAAGAAGAAGAAGAAAAAGAACAGAAGCAGCAGGACAAGCGAGACAGAGAGGTGAAACGGGCCCCAGGAGGATAAACAAAAAGAAATATATCCTCTTCTACTTAAGTGTTTATATTATCCATCCAAAAGGGAAGGTTCAGACAATCATAAAGTCATCATGTTTCTTTTTAAGATTTGTTTTTGTTTGTACATGGTTCTTAAAAAGAAAAGAAAATCCTTGACCAAGTGGCACAAGCAACCCTCCAACTCTTCAACTAAGATACACACAGAGAGAAAACCCCTAACAGCAGCTTCAGCTCTCACAACAAGGATGTATCTTTTACTGTGTGTGACTACAGTCTGTGAAATCGCTTTCCAAAAGTCCAGAAATGTTTAAATGCCAGTTCTTGTGAGTGTGGTCTTAACACACAGTAACAGATGTTGACCTCTACACATTTTCACCCGCCGTGTCTTTACACCATTTGTAGGAGGCCGTTCAGAAAATGTTGGATGAAGCAGAAAATCAGGTATGAACACAGATTAATGTCACAAGTAAAAACAAGTGTCAAAATCATATTTGTGTTTTATGAGCGTACATGTGTACTTCAAAGTCTGTATAGACTTGTTTGTCAATTTAGGAATATATGTATCCTAATGGTGTGCAGCTCAGTTTCATTTATACATGCGCAGCTCGGTTTAATGTGTTTTTATATTCAAGTTCAGTTAAACCTCACACATAAAGAACATGTCAAAGATATTTTTACACTAATTTCAGAAATAATTTCTCTCTTGCTTAATTTCTACCTCCAGACATCACTGATTATTTAGTCTTTAACCCTGATAAGTACATATTTGATTACAAAATTCGAAATATGTTCATCCAACCTTTAAAGACATATATAAAAAATAATGTTTTTATTTTTTAAAGTAGGAGCTACATCTTATTCCAGTTTAAAGTCAGACTATACAGCATATACATTTTTGTTCTTGTGTTCCAGTTAGAGAATGGAGGAGCGTGGATGAATCCCGAGGCTCCTGGGACAAAGAGCTCGGAGAACTTTGGGACGGAGCGGGACGTGGCAAACTGTCCTTTCTTCCTGAAGACCGGGGCGTGTCGATTTGGAGACAGGTACTGTTGGTTTCTCCTTTGACGTGACTTTTGACTAATTATTGCACAAGTCACAAATGTTTTTTGAATGTTTCTGTATACTCTCCCCTCTTCCTCCTTTGTGAGTCCAGATGTTCTCGGAAGCATGTTTATCCCACAGCCAGCCCGACTCTGATGATCCGGGGAATGTTTACGACGTTCGGCTTGCAGCAGTCGCGCCGCGATGATTACGACATTGATGCTTCTTTGGAATACAGCGAGGAGGAGCTGCAGGAGACTTTCCTCGACTTCTACCAGGACGTCCTGCCGGAGCTGAAGAGTGTCGGCAAGGTGGTGCAATTCAAGGTAAGATGAGATCAGGAGGAAGTACCAAAAATGTCAATCCATATATACCCTAAATAAGTAAACCATGATTTCAGAATATAAGGTCAGGGTAGCGGCTCTGATTGCTGACATGTTACATGTATTATTAGAATAACAGAACACAGCCACCAGTTTGTCAGCTCATATAAATACTTTGACAGAATTGTTTTGGTAAATTCAACTTCTGCATGTGACGTTATTTGTCAATATTTTCAATTTAAAATATTCAATATAAGTACCAAGTCAAAGAAAAGTTTTAAAGGTGTTTTATTAGTCAATTTAGATTACATAAATAAATATTAGTTTTTATTTTGCCTGGGAAATTGTAAAAAGGTCATCCTTACAGTGTGCTACACAATTAAAACATTTCAAAAATACAAATATATAAAATTATCTCCTGCCAAATTCAATCAGATTTAAGTTATCCCTCTGACTTTTTCTAAGAATTCCTATTTAAAAACCAACCTCACTGTTCAGGAATACATGACCAAATAATCAAGACTAAAAACCTACATTCGGTTTCCTTGATACCTTTTCTTTTTTAGGTCAGCTGCAATTATGAACCACACCTGCGAGGAAATGTTTACATTCAGTTTGACACGTAAGTTATCACACAACCGTTCCATAACTTTCCCAAAATAATACCTGTACACTGTTTGAAGTTCAGAATAAAACACTTAATTCTTTGTCCTCCCATCTCTCTGTTGTGTGTCCAGAGAGGAGCAGTGCATGGAGGCCATCATCAGGTTCAATGGGAGGTGGTACGCAGGCCGGCAGCTTCACTGTGAGATGTGTCCTGTTACTCGGTGGAAGAATGCTATATGTGGTGAGTTGTTCTGTCTGATAGAAGAGTTTCTTTTCATTTAGTGACATTACTGCAGAGATACAAGATTCAGTTCAATGTATTCATCTTGTTTGTGATGTATTTCCTCTCTCAGGGTTGTACGACAGACAGAAGTGCCCCAAAGGGAAGCACTGTAACTTCCTGCACGTATTTCGAAACCCTGGCAATGAATTTTGGGAGGCGGACAGGGACCTGCATCTGTCTCCAGACCGCAGCGTCAGGGGGAGTCGCAGAGACGGGTGGCAATCGGAAAGATACGGAGACAGATCGTGGAGGCAACGTCAGAACAGCAGAAGCCCCCCGAGATCTGAGAGATCCCATAGCAGACGAGAGGGAGACAGACGGAGGAGCAGGAGCAGAGAGAGCAGGGCGTCCCAGCAGCACCGAGAGGACAGACGGTCATCCAGACACAGTGACAGAAAGAACAACTGGTATCTGAGCAAGAGTAAGGATAGGTCGAGGAGTAGAAGTAGAGACAGAGAGCCAAACAGAAGTAGAGATAAAGACAGGGAGCACAAGAATAGAAGTGAAGAGACAGACAGTAGAGACACAGAAACACATGAAGAAGTGAGGAAAAGGTCGAGAAGCACAAGCAGAGAAAGGAAGAAACGCAGTACAGAAAAGAGCCCCAAGAAACCAGATACTATTGAGGAGACCAAAACACGCCGCCGCCACAAACAATCCAAAAAGGGCAAGAAAAAGAGCAAAAAGAAGCATAAGAAGAAAAGCCATCTGCCTGAAGAAGTGACCTCATCTGGAGAGTCAGAGAAGGAGAAAGAGTCGGAGGACGAGAGAGTGGAGGGTGTCCCTGCAGCGAGTCCTAGTGGGGCAGGTCAGAAAAACCATGATTTTGATCAAGGTCTGGGAGTTGACAGGGAGCTTTGTCCTGAGGTGAAACATGAACAGTCTATCACAGAAATGCTGAATGAGGCCGCCAGAGAAGGTGACATGAGTAACTCTTAGTTACCTTTCAAAATATATGAATTGGTTCTGGCTTTTCTCCTCGACATGTTTTTAGCAAGTTAGCACCTGTCACCAATGCACATGTACATATGTGAATATTTGTAGCTTTTGTAAAGTGGTTAACGTCGCTTCAATTATCGGACGCTGGAGCTGCAGAACAACATGGTTATTGATGCTGAGTAAAAACAATATGAAAAAACATCAAAACGGGGGTTATTTCTTTGTATCCATTTATTGTTAATAACTTGCAAATATAAGAAAAAAATGTTGGCAAATGAGTTGGCAGTGTTTAATACAAAAAGTGATTTATTTTTGCAGAAATCAAAGATGTCGAATAATTACTTCTGAATGTTCGATGACAACACTTTGTGGTTTTAAGAATGCAGGTACAATTCTTGGATGAGCATGCATTCATTACTTGTTGGCCTGTTTTCCTGCTGACAAGTGAACAAGCTGACACTGATGAATATTCATGATGTCCCCTGATATGTGCAGTTCATCTTCTGTCGCTTCTACCCCATAAAGAAACTCATGCTAGACCTGCCCTTAAACTGTTTGGGACAATAATACTGCTATATTGTGGCCAAATAATCCCCACCTACATGTTCTGTCAAACATCCTGCCGCTCTAAATCCCTTTTCTGCTATGTTAACTTTCTGTAGACTCCATCGAGAAGATAAAACAGTGTTCTTTGGTCATGTTAGTCTTTAAGCCAAACTAAACTATATATATAAAATAGATTTTTCTTTTGAGTCGCTATGCTTTCCTGTCCCAGATTTGACTCCAGAGGCCATTATGAAATTGTAAAACAAATGCTTTTGTCAGGAAAAGTCTTTTTTTGTGGAAACAACACTACAAGACTCATTACAAACTGCTGAGGTTAAGAAAAGGCAACGTCTTGAAAATAATATACATGGTTCATTTCTAAGAACTCACTAAACACAAACTTGTTCAAACCTACATAACAAACACTGATGTTAAGTCTTTTAATTTCACTTAATTGTTAGGTTGAATGACCCGTGTGATTGTAACAGTGTCAGCGATTCCCACAACAGCACGAGCCCCCGTTGGTTATTCTCATGTGTTATCCTTATCAGAGTCACAAGTATCTTCTCAAAAAATATTCATTTAATAAAACCCAGGTCATTACTTACCGCTGTTCTTAAGGTAGTCCTCAAAGACCCATCTAACCATCTCGATTGATTTAATTGATATTTCCAGAGATGAGCCTCTTTTGTAATCGACAGATGCGAGTACAAAATGACATATTTGCTCATTTTGTACATTGTTATATTGTTTTTGCAGTATTTAATATGAAGCAACATAATGCCCATTTGCTTTTGAGAAACAAGATGAAAAACCTTTTTAATTATGCATTTAGTTTGTTAACAAAAACAGTTTTATCAAATGAACCTCACAGATGTCAGAATATTTATTTTGTATTTGGATGCTGAGCTCTGGCCTGAATGTGAAGGTAAATCATGAGAATTGCCGACTGAGTCTACGACAGCACCTTTAGAAATACTTGAAGCCAAACAGCACACACAACTCTGAAATCAGTGATGATTAATACGGTGCTGGAGTTTCATGTCGTCGCTACATTGTACTCAGTTGAGTTTTAAGAAGTTAATTCTGTGAAGGATGTTAATACTACTGCAGAATACAGTGAGGGAGATTGTTCAGAGGAGATACATCAACACCGCAGTTGGCACCACATTTAAAGGACACAACTGGATAGTACATGACAGAATACATAGATGGTGATTATATACATACAACACTGACACAGTCAACAGGAGAGAGACATAGAGGTTGCCATATCTGCATCTGGAAGAAGGAACTGCAACATGATGATTTATGTTAGCCCAATTTCTTCCAAAACGCTCCGTGGTGCCTCGGCCTCCTGCAGACAAAGACAAGAGAGAAAGGTTTGTTGCTGACGTACATTTTGTAGTACAAAAAAGACCCTCTATGCTTGCAGGTTACCAAGTAAGATAAACCCTTCTTAGGCCTGCACAGTCAGCTGTTCTTGCAACAACAGTACTGCATGCTTTGCAAAAAAAAAAAAAAAAATTATGTTGACTGCAAAGGACTACAGTGAGACAGAGATGCGAACATCCAGGACAGGACTTGCTTAGGTTCACTGGCACAGGGGAGGAACCGGTATTCATCAAGCGCTGCAGGCTTAGAATAAACAGGTGATGTCAGGTGTGGAGGGGCGCAGGGTGAAAAAAAGATGTATCCTTATATCTGGTTTCAGCTTCTCAGATGAAACTTTTCTGACTGAAATTACATTAAACTGAATATATATTGGGGGTTTGGAAAGTTGGTTAATTCATTATTTGAATTCTACTAGGGGCTTTGGAAACGTGATGGGCATTGTAACCAAGTTATCTGACATAATAATAATAATAATAATAATGCATTACATTTTTTATTAGAGCGCTTTTACAGGTGCTCAAAGCGCTTTACAAGTACACATTACACATATTAGACATGTAAGAGTCATTACTGCGGACATTACCCACAGGAGCAAATGCGGGTAAAGTGTTTTGCCCAAGGACACAACGGCCTGACGCAGTGGCGGCCGAGGCGGGATTCGAACTGGAGCCCCTTATTATGGATCGAAACACCTTTTGACCTGACACTGGTGAGTGTGTGTAATAGTGTGTGTTTACAAAACTGTTCGTACCTCTTGCAGCAGGTCAGCCTGCTCGATGGCCTTCAGCACGTTCTTCTTCGACGTCTCCTGAGCCTCTCCCCCCAGCAGGAACTCATCCAGGATGAAGTAGGCCTTCTCAAAGTTGAAGATAATATCCAGCTCACAAACCTGTGTGGCCAAACAGTAGCAGATCAGAGGAGATCCTGTAGTTAGTGACACACTGAAAGGATTCATACAGTACACTTTCTATTGTTTTCTGCCACATTCTACCAATTAACAGTTTATTTGAGATGTGTGACATTTAAGGCTTACACTGCCAAAATATTTGTCCAGCAGCTCCACGTATCGATGGATGATCTCCAGGGTGATCAGCTCATTGTCCTGATCCTCCACAGCACAGCAGAAATACAGGCTTGCATATCTACAACCGAAAGTAAGCAAATAAAAGATGAACGATGGGTGATGTATAACAATGTTAGTGATCTCCCGGCAGAAATACAACATATCAGTGTTTTCAATGTAGGTAACAGTAGGCTTTGATCAGTATCAGGACTCAATGTGAACACACATACCTAGATATGCATACAATAAGAAATACAAATTCAAAATTCCCATCAAAAATAATAAAGATAACTTGCGATTACTTTGCAAACATCTGGGAAAAAAATGGAGCATTGTAGCTTTTTCATGATATAATTGTTTACAGCTATATAAAACTGCACCGCATTAGATGTTTACATATGTACCTAATAAACAGGTAGCTGGATAAAGTGTTTAAGTCATGGATGTTTAAAGTTTAACTTCTTCATATTTGGCTAATATTATAGTTCACTTTTCATTCGGGAAGTATGACGCTGCACTGTCAGTACGCTTCTCCATGTTTGTGATTGGTCAAATGTTGCTAGCCCCGCCCCTTTCATGTGAACGCGCACTCAGCCGGACAGAGAAACCCTGGCTTGAGTTACCGAGTTGATAACCAACGTCGTAGGGCCGCTTAGCGAGATTGTTTTGGATTAGGTAAGCCGGGTAACTCAAACATATCCAGGGTATGTTGAACTGGATTCGTAGTTCAGGCCTCTGGTTGCCCTTCTGTTTATTCTCCGCGGTGGATTTAGCAACATGTGGTTCATGTAGTTCTCCATGTCCACTTGTTGCTGATGGTTGTGGTAGAGGAGCTGTAGATTTTGCACTAACATCTGTAGCATGGTCAGTAGCAGTAACAGTAGCTACTGACCATGCTACAGCAGTGAGCAGCAGAAGTGGGGAGAGGCGGGGCTATGGCTTCATCGTTATCAGGAAATGATCGTATAGGACGTCACGCAGAGCCGTTTGGCCCTCCAGAGCGTTCCTTCGCAGATCTATCCACCTTGGGACCCATTATCGTTTGAGGGGTCCGTTTCCGCGGTTCCGTTACAGCCTCGTGTGAACGAACGGGCTATACGAAAGAGAAAAGTAGCAGATACAACCCGTTTCGTTCCCGTGTAAACAGCGCCTAAATGCCAGAAATCTCATTGCATGACAACATAATAACTGAATCGTCGGTTTTTATTAACCACCCAGCAAGCCACTACAGATACAAAAGCAACGTAGCAAACCGAACATTTACCCATCCTATCACAACAATCTGAAATTCCTGGCATAGGACAGTGGAGTTTATTTAGACCACTGTGAAATGTGTGAATGTTTAACCACATAATCTCAAGGATCACTTGCTATGAAACAGTATCTCCTATATTTAAAACAACTTGTGATCATGTCACTGAGTAACACATTGTAACAACTAAACTGTCTCCATGACAACTACTGAGGAAGACTGTGATGTTTTCTATAAATGTGTGATGGAAAACAAAATCAATGGAGTTTTAGTAAGGAATGCACTTTAACATCGACTCAACATGGTAAAGGTAGCTCCAATATCTTTTGATGAGTAATTTGTGTGCATTTTTTGCATTTCATCGTTTTTTATTTATTTGATTTAAATGATTTAAATGAAGATGCTCAGAAGTTTGTTTCATACAGCTGAGAGGAGTTACAAAACTGAAAACAACCAAAGATATTTAAGTTTGTAATTTAAACTTCTCTTATTCACTTACTTACCTCTTGTACACGATTTTGAGGTCCCTCCATTCCAAGAAGCTGCACATCTTGGGCTTCCTGGCCAATATGGTCTGGACCAGGTCTCTGGAGATCTTCTTCCTCTCCTTATCAGACAGAGGCACATACCATTTCTGTAGCCGCAGCTTTCCCTGCCGGCTGAATAACAGCATGAACTGCATCTGATGGAGGAAGTTCATTTAACATGTATCCATGGCAAAGAAAAGATACACACTATTTAGAGAGAAGGAAGGTATATACACATATAACAGGAAGGACTGAGGGGCAAGTAATCACCAACCATGTAGCATGTATGTTATTTTTCCATGTGATTCAGTACATGTAATAAAAATGTATTAATGTATTATTCCAGGATAAAACGACCTATACGTCTGATCAAATGTATCTTTGCTCAGTTTTACGTCCAGGAGGCGTTTGCACAAACTTCCATTAGCTTATGTTAGCTATCTTTGCTAAATTGCAGCATATTAACAGCAACAACACGATAGGTGTGTACATTATGTGTAATTTGCGCCCCCTCCTGCGACGCCCAGCTAACGAAAGCAGACACGAGAAGTAAATACGACCCTTACCTTCGAGTTAGTCACTTGGACGCCTGGTAACTACAGTATATTTAGGCGGAATACATAACCAAAAAGAGGGAACAGATATGTCTGTCTCTGCAGGTTAGCTTCTCCTCCACACTGATGCTAAACTAGCTAGCGGATGGTGGTTGCTGGTGAGACGCCGATGAAGGGAGCGGTGGTCTGATTGGTCGAAAAAGACACAGCTGTAGGATTTGATTGGCTTAAAGGTTCCGTTATTCCAGTACCGTTATTCGTTACGTTGCGTATATAAGTCTATGGTTGCATATACAGCAGCTAATAATGTCTTCCTGCTAGGACAGTTTACCACTTGTCATTGTCACTTCTCTTTTTTTTATTAAAGAATCTAAAACATCACATGATATCCCAACAAACAAATTACACTTTACACACATAGGAATTCAGCAAAAACTAGGTGTGAAGTAGATAATTAAGTACCTTAAAGGGATAGTGGAAATCAGCGAATTTTGGGTTTAACTTATGTATTTTTATTAAAAAGCATAATAAACAATTTTTTTTAATTTCATGCGCCTAGTTTCATTTTATTTTCAATTTTACTGCGCCCTCTCAATGAAACGAAATACTTCGGGAATCGTCGGGAATCTTCGGGTGATGACGAGAGCATAGGAAGACGGGCACAAACAATGGCGGACATTCAATAGCATTTGCATGTGAATAGTGACCTTTATTATGGTGAATAGATGTGTTTTGTATGGCTGTAGTGCGACAGCAAATGCAGAGGATGGCGTATCGACGCATGCGTTTCCAAGAAACCCAGCCATTCAGTCAGTGGGTGAAATTTGTTCAGATAACACGGGCAAACTTCACGGAGCCGAAGCTGACGAGTAATTCGGCAGTCGTGTGCTCCCGTCATTTTACTGACGATTGTTTCGAGAATATGATGATTGATTATCAGTAAAAAATTCTACGTGACACAACGACATTGGATTAACCTTGAGATGCGTTTTTATTCCGTTGAACACAACTTTTGATCACAAATCAAAAAAGGTAAGACGTAATTATTGTAATATTTTAGAAACCGGATGTTGTTTACTTTCTCTTTTCTGGCTGATAGCTCCAGGAATTCGAGGTCTTACAGTGATGACATTACACCTGTGGAGTCTCAGCTTTAAATCGTATATCTTGTTTGTGCAGTTAAGATAGTAATAAGGGCATTTCTACCGTGTGTGTTGTGTGTAAAAAAGCGTTAGCATTAGTTAGCATTGTTTCGCTCAATGCTAATTCAAAGGCTTGGTATTACTCTTGTGTTTTTTCTAGCTAACAATTGTTCTTATTGTCAGTTAGCGGAGTTTCTTACCTTTAAAAGGGTATGAAACATTAATAGTTTCATAAATGTTAAGAAGCCCTGAGACATGTGAGAGAAAAAAAACTGTGGGAGGGGTCCACTGGGGGGACCTTCGGGCTTAACTGGTTAACAATGATTAATATTTGTAAAGGCTACAGGTGATCTTAAGATGCGTGAGCTATGCTTAGGGACCTACCAGTCAAGATTATTTGTGCGTAGGGGTGCATCATCTGGCCTGTCCTGGTCATCCTCGCCATTGCCCATGCCGTGAACCATCACCTCGGCTCGGGCTCGAACAAATAAGGACGTAATGATCCATCGTCTGGCTCAATATTGTCACCATCGTCGCTTACTGAACCGGATTCAGATTCAGTTCCTAAAACGACATTTTCGTAGGAAAGCCGAGAGGATGTTTCTGACTCGCTATCATCACTGGATACCTCGTACAATCCTTCTTCTTTGTCTGGTATATTTGCCCTTCCACGTTCATTCTGCATAGACGCCATGGTTTGTTATCGTATCGTCTTCCTAAGTTTTCGTCACTTCCGGTTTGGCTGAGTCGAACATTTCGTTTCTAAAAAACTTCGGGGAAGCTGCAATAAAGTGCTTCTAACATGCGTAAGGCAATTATTATATTTTTTTAATCAGGTGTGATTGTTTTGGTACGTAATTATGCTTGTATATAAGTTAAAACGAAACTATTTGAGGTTCCATTTCCACTATCCCTTTAACTGAAGTACTGCAGACCTACTTTCTTCAGGTGAGAGTTGGGAGAAAGAAACAATGTGATATTTGGGCCCATTTTCGCTACAATGAGGCGGAGAAAAAAAGCGAATGCATTGTTTTATCAGAAGTCAAGCAATGTGGCCATAACACAGCTGGTAAAAACACCACAAACCTGACCAGATACTCTCTGCAAAGCTGCATTCTTAATCATTCAACCTGTGTTTTTCATCAAATAAGGACAAGATATAATCTTATTGTGAAATAAGTTTGGTTTTAGCTTGACTAGTTTGACTGAAATGTTCTATATAATCTGATGACTAAAAAAGACTCAACAGTTTTCATTGACAAAAAGTAGACTAAAATAATTAGTTTTCTTTGACTAAAATAAGACTAAAATGCTCAGACTTTCAGTCGACTAAATCTTGACTAAATAAAAACAGGATGAAGGTGATTAAATATGACTAAAACTAAAAAGGAAATTTAACACAGGACTAAAACTAAATAAAAAAATAGCTGACGAAATTAACACTAGCCTACTTGCAATAAAACTAGTGCTGTCAAAATTATCGCGTTAACGGCGGTAATTAATTTTTTGAATTAATTGCGTTAAAATATTTAACGCATTTAACGCATATGCAGAATGGCCCGCCCCATACGTGCCACCAGTGGCAGCGCCAGGGTATGGCTGGGGTAGGCTACACCCATACCAAGAAATGGCTTAGCCCCACCATGAAAAATGATGTTAAAGTAATCAAAATAAAGTCAGCCAACTCGCGCGGAGTAAATTGCACAGACAGCAGTTAGTAAGATTGATTTCAGTAGCCACGGTTTTGAAAACTTTTGTCACGTAGTGATCGTCTTCTCAATAGAACATCTTTGATAACGGCGTGGTGTTGTTGCAGGAAGTCCCGACGGAGAATACTTTTGCTGTAGTACAGGGGTGCACATAACTGGTACGCAGGTTATGTGCGTAATCTGAAATGCGTACCGTCACTTGTGTCACAAAGCGCATTTGCGTACCGACGTACTTGTGAAGCTTTTCCAGAAGGCGGTTAGATCACCGGACGACAGAGTCGGTCTCCGTGTGCACAGACAGGGCTGCTGTTAACGTCGGTCTGTACAACGGAATTGTGCCAAAACTACGCCAACCGGCTGCGGAGGGAGACTCCCCCCCTTCACTGGAGAACTGCGCTAAAACAGCTGATCACAACGTTCACACTCTGTGGTCACGAAGTACTCCACTAGCCGCCGCCCCCCCCCCCTCTGTCGACTTTCATGAAGTAGTCCCCCGTTGATAGAAATCAACACGTAATGAATTAAGACCCCACGGTTTGATGATTGATGGGTTGTCTTTCATTTTGACACGCAGAAAAATGTTATAATAAACATAGATACTGTATGTTAAATGGATATATCCGCCTTCTTTCATTTATCTTTCCATTCCCACAACAATATACATAAATAAATGGCATATTTTGGACATAGTTCGAATGGTGATTAATCATGATTAATTAATTTTTAAGCTGTGATTAATCTGATTAAAATTTGTAATCGTTTGACAGCCCTAAATAAAACACGATATTGCTATAACTCCTGTGAAAATTGTCAAAAGTGCTAACACTTCACATGTGTGCTAACAGTCCAGCCGTGAAGACATCTACGGGACAGTTTTGAAATGTCTTCAAATGTCGTTGCCATGGCAACACAATGCTCGCTATGAAACACGGTTTTCTCATAACTTCAGTGAAAATGCTCCAAACGGCCCAAAACTTCACAGGTTTGGTAACGATTCAGCCATCAACACATCTAAGCGATGAGGTGTCATCAAATACCGTTGCCATAGCAACAGATAATTCGCCATCAAGTTAGTTCAAAGGTTTGCAGTTCAAATATTATACTGCTTTTCCAAGCCTTTTTACTTTCTTTTCTTCTCTTATCACACATTCAAGTCCCCAGTGTTAATGTATCATTTCAATCTAAATTCTTCACTTTCTTCTTACACATTACATTTCAGCATAGCAGTTTAGCGTCAGCTTTTTAGCATAAAGCATTCCCACTAGCAATTTCTTCAGGAGTTGCATTCTCTAGTGATTATTTGTTATGATTAGGTGCTCAGCACAGAAACAAACACTGACAAACAGACTGGACTTTAACAGACTTTCTCTCAGCCAATTATTTTCTGTCTGATGAAGACTTCATACTGACTTCAACATATTCCACATATTTTATACATTATTGGTGACATATGGTTTTAGTCGAAAAGTTTGCAGTCAAAATATTCTGCTGCTTTCCCAAGCCTTTTTCCTTTCTTTTCTCTTCTTAAAACACTTTTCTATTTCTCCGCTAAGTTCAGCAACACACTTACTTGGTTTTTGTAGCTAAAAGCATGCTACAGAGACCATTCAGCTAATAACATATTCAGCTTTTTCTGCATTTTCAGCTAAATTCAGCAACAAATGTTCACAGTTTACAGCATTCGCACGCATTTTCTGCAGGAAATGCATTTTCTAGTTTTGATCTGTATCCCAATCCGCATCACAGTATGCAACAAGTTTCAGTTTCTCATCTTGTTGTTTAAAACATAACTCCTGATTAATTGTGCCCTTTAAGTACCTCAACATGTTTAGCAGTTAACCAGTGTTGTTCTTTTGGCTCTGAGAAATACTGTGACAGTTTACTGACTATCCAACTGAGATCAGGCCTTGTGGATGTCATTACTTATATTAAGCTGCCTACTGCTTCACGATATTGTGTTGCATCAACAGCTTCACCATCAACGTTTTGTTTCTGTTCACATGGGGTGGACCTTTCAATCATTCATACCAAACCTTTCCAGTATTTTTGCAATTCATTTCTTTTGACCCTTATTTCTACTTTTTCCTGAGTAAAAGTCAATGATAGGAAATGTTTAAATTTCCCAAGATCCTTCATTTAGAATGTTGTGCTCAACATTTCTTTCACAGTATTAATTGTGTGAATATCATTAGCGATAACTAGATAATCTACCCAAATAATCAGAATGTTTTTCAATTTCTTTACTGTAGACACAGTGATCAGCTGGGTTTTGTGCAAAACCATTCTCACAGAGATGATCACGCAACATTTTTCTTCCAGTTTCTTCCAGATTGTTTTAACCCATACAGTGAGGAGGCGTGTGGCTCAGTGGACTAGTGTGTTGGTGTTCGGATCAGGGGAGCACAGGTTCAAACCCCACTACAGTCAGCATGTCGTTGTGTCCATGGGCAAGACAC